GATAGGGGGGACTTAACTAGGACGCGGTTCGAGGTGCAACGCAGTTTCTTCGACAGTAGTCGAAGTCGAAGGGTTCGTCGAGACGGTATCGACGAGTGGACGCAGTGGACGAGGTTTCGAGGTTACGCAGTGAGGAACGAAGTGACGCAGTTGAGGACGTAGACGCAGGGCGAACTCGACTTATGAGCTCTGAACTAGAGGGGGGGAACGGATCTTGTATTTTTGGAGAGAAGTACAACAGATTTTATACTACACAGGACGCTACGACTATTCGAGAGTGGCATACGAGTACAAGGGGCTTTGCATTGTTCCTCAAGAAGCTGCCTCACCGAGGGGCACACACCAAGTCCATCGGTAGAGTGACGTCATGCCGAACGCGGAGATGAAGAGTAACATATGGCCACTTCGGACCGGTAGCCGTCGTGAAGGCATGCCGCGAGGTTCGATACTTAATCGGGAAAGACCGGCTACTTCGGTGTGGCTTGGAGCGAAGCGCGCGCTTGGCCGAGCGGCGTCAAGTGGCCCTATTGTTCGCCGAATGTGGAAGATGTTCCGAGATCTACGCACGAGGCATCGGAAAGACCGTGCCGAGCTTCGAGTAAGTGTCGCGCACCGTCGAAGGTGTCGAAGAGCGTCGAAGGCGAAATCGAGGTGTTGGGAGACTGAGTCGAAGTGCCGGGCGGGATGCGAGTGCCGAAAAGAGGTGAATCGGGGCCCAGAAGGGCTTGGCGCCTATCAACGTGCTCTCCTATATGCATCTGTAGCACTGCTACTTCCGAGATGCTTCCGTCCTTGTTCAGGGTGCCGTCGATATTATAAAGCGGAATGGGCTCCTTCAGCCTCCGCATCTGCACCTTATTCTCTACTACGAATCGTTTGTTGATGAACTTCATGGTGGCTCCACTGTCCACCATAGCAATTATGTCTTTTTGCCGTCTTTTTCCTTGAAGTCGTACTGGGATGTGAAAATGTTGGGACCCCTGGTCCAATTCGTATACCATCGCAGTAGACAATACGTTATATTTGTTACAAGAAGATATTCGCGGCCCGACGCATGCGGCACAGAGCGTGGACCAGATCAAAAACCCTCCTCCTTCATCGCCCGATAGTGTTCGAGCTCCTCGCGCATCGACTTCACCTGTGCCATTAAGTCCACCAGCTCTGATTGCTCGGATTTCGCTGAAGCAGCACTTATACTTGCCGAGGGTGATGCCGTGACGGGGGCGCTTGTCGCCGCCTGGGTGGAGCCCGAGGCAACCGTAGCCCACGCGTCGGCGCATTTTGTGTAAGGTTTGTCCTTACAGTTGGGGCACTCGAAGCGTCGGTACCCTTGCTTCCCACAACCAAAGCATGTGCCGGGGAAGTTGCCTTTTCCGACGGCCGCATTGATGCTGGCCGAAGCTGCGTGTGACGAGGGTGCACCACCACGTGCCCCTCCGCGTCCTCGACCTCGCGCCGAGAAGAAGCTGTTTAGCTCGGGCCGACGAGCCCGGCTGATGTCGAGGATTTGCTCAACCTCGGTGGTGCGTTTGTCAGCGGCTTGCCACGTGGCGAAGGTTTCGAGCTCAAGTTTGCGATAGACGCGGGAATGGATGCCGCTCAGGTACTTGTCGCGTAGTTCCAGGTTCCCATACCCGGAACGGTCCGCCGGACCCTTGAACAGCGCAGAGAATTCTGCGGCGGTGCGCTTCTCGCGCATGGTTTTGTTGGAGCAGAGCTTGGTAAGCTCCACCTGTGCCGCGGCGGTGTCGTCGAGATTGCCAAAACGGGCCTTGAATGCCTGAAGGAAGGCTTTTTCGTCGACAAAGGGGGTTGTCGCTCCCTGGATCCCGATTTGGACGGAGGCAAGCTGGGAGAAGATGGGGGTGGCCCAAGCTCGCATGTCACCATCGAGGAGACTGAGGGCAACCTGGATCTTCAGCTCGAGGGAAGAGAGGGCTGTGTTGATCGTCCAGTAGATGAGCAACTGCGAGATGAAGCGGTTGCATTCGATCACCGACTTCCCATCGTATCGGAGCGGGAGGAGGAGTTTCAACGTCTCCTTATCCGGTACGGCAGTGGGAGAGGACATTATCAGCGACGAGGGGGACGAAGGACTGCCCGCGGACGAAGGCGACTGTTGTGACTGTCTGCCGGGCGGACTTCTCGAGGAACAAGTGCTTGAGCGGCCTCGCGGCGGCGACGGCGGTGAAGTCGGTTGAGGAAGCCCGGAGGCGGGGTGACGTAGGACAGGGACTGAAGTCGAGGCGGTGACCGCTGACGACGAGCTGGCCCAAGAATGCGGCGGAGTGTCGCGGGGCTCGGTCTTGGGAGGCCTTTCCAACCGCGGCCCCAGGGAGGACTGGGGGATCGCTTGAGGGGTCGCTGTAGGCTGTGCGACTGCCTCAGTTCCTCAAGGGAGATGGGGATCTCCTCGTGCTTGACCTGTACTGACGACAGGTTGGGGGATGCGGGTGCCTGGCGAGGCAGGTCGGGATGGGACGGGAGTGACGTGGCGGGATGTAGATCTCAAGGTGCCAGCGTACCAGAGTGCAGGGCCGCTGGGGTGTTGAACTCGTCGGATTGGCACGAAGTGTCCTTCGTCAACAGTGATGGACCGTGGAGTGCGATTAGGGCACGGTTGCCGATCACAGATGAAGAAAGGAGCTCTGTCTCCATTGCTGTTCGGGTCGTCACGAGAGACGTCGACCTGCTCCTGGGTGTCGAAGGCGTGCTCAAGTCAAGAGCAGTCGAAGAATTCGTCAGCCACGTTGATGGGGGGAGGAAGGGGAGGTGCGCGTGCTACGAAAGGCCGTGCTAGCTAGCTTACACCTACGGCGCCTGAGGTAACACTAGGGTTCGCAGTTCACGTGGGGCCCAGTACTGCTTTTGGCTAGTATGCAGCAGGAACCTAGTCCACGCGTCCGTGAGGACAAGTACCGCCCACTGAAGTGCAGGTACTGAAGAGTTCGTCCCCTAAGTGGTGGCGATGTATAGTACGCTATCTAGGTATCGTAGGGTACAGTAAGGGTGCACACCACCCAACCT